AAATCAAATAGATATTAACCTTATTCATTTAATATTTGTTAGATTCAGAAGAACTTATTTAAGCCAAATCACCTTTAACCACTATTTTCATAAATCTGATTTAATGTTTAAACTAATAGTTTATCCGTCTCTGATGTTTAATGAATGAAATCTTCCAAAAAAAGCAGCTCTGTGCTTGGTCTAGTTATTCTGAAAACAGGTTCCAGAAGACGCTTAAAACAAGAATATATGAGAACTACCCGTAATGGAAAATAACTTAACACTTTTTTCACATTTTCCACCCGAATCTGTAATAACGCAAACAAACATAAACATACAGTATGTGTGTTGTACTGCTAAATGTACTGCAGAACGTTTGTACTGGCGAATGTAATGCAGAAAGTACGCATAACATATGAAAGTAAGGAAAGGAACCAAGCCGAACTGAGGCTTCAGTTAGTTCAGCTTCAGCTTCACCTTGTTCTCACTCGGGCGCAGAACTATATATATATACATAAACAAGATCTGAGATCTAGTATAACCAAGGTCCACAGCTCTCACTACCTGACCACATTTTATTCAAAAAAAAATATCAAAAAATTATTAAAAATAAATATACTTTTTCTTTTTTCCGTTTTTAAAATTTTTAAAGTTTATGTTTTTTTAAAGTAAAGTCTGGAGGTGCCGACTATATCAGGTTTGAACGCGCGTCTGGATAGATAGATAGATAGATAGCACCAGGCAGTTGGGCTTCCAAGCACAGGCAGTTAGGTTGGTGCAGGGTGTACCCCTCCCAAGCCAATATGTATATTGTATACAGGGTACACAGTGTATACACTATACAGAGTGTATACACGATACATAATAAGTGAATAGTTAGAACAATTCGTTTATTTTAATATATTAAACAGTTTACACGTTTTTACCATTTTTGCATTGCTTTTTCATATTGTTTGTTATCCCTAACATGAGCTTTAAAAATCTTTTTTTGCCAGAAAAAAAACTTGAAATTCTTGTTTTCTCCGTGTCTTCTCTTTTATGCCGAACATATATAGCTATATTGATAAATTATTATAATAATATCATATTTTAAAAAGTTTTGGAATTCGGGGTATCGGCCACTGTAAAGATAGACCAAAGGAGAAAGTCAAATGTTTGCGACATTACCATGGGTACGACTTTGTGACCTCGTGACTCTTCTAGTTTTTAATTACGCACAAGTATACTAGAAGCAAGTTTTTCTTAGTATATTAGTAATTCAAAACATTTTTGTGTTCCTCAATAGCTTAATAATTTCCTAGAGAATGATTTTTGGACCCTCCCTGCCCTTCAATTTTGTACATAACTTTTACAACAATTTTCAATTAAATGTAAGACATGTGGCCGCAGCGCTCACCCCCCTTATCCCGTCCTAGCTGCAGCGCTCGGCCTAGAAAGTGTCATAACTTAACATAACCCGTGGCAGCCGCGCTCGGCCCCCTAGCCTGTCCTAGCCGCAGCGCTCGGCCCAGAAAGTGTCTTAAATAACCTAACCCTTGGCCGCAGCGCTCGTCCCCCTAGCCCATCCTAGCGTCANGTAACCGAATATATCGTGCAAATTATTTCAGTTTGACGTGTGCCATGCGCTAATATTCAAATTTATTGTTCACAAAGTAAGGAAAGATATTTCTTCAAAAATACTACTAGAAGGAAATTACAGGGTGACCCACGAAACATGACAGTTGGTGAATAATTTAAAATGTCTTCTTCCATAATTATACTTAAGTTGTTTGATACCAAAGAGAATTATAAGAATATCTAGTGGTAGTCATATTATAGTAAATTGATTTCAAAGTAAAATATATTTTACTAAAAGATTTTATTGAGCGAAAAAAAATGCAAATAAGTCTTTAATATCTATTAAAGTATTGGGAAGAAGACATTTCAAATTATTTTTCATGTTTCGTGGGACACCCTGTAAATAATTAGCAAAATAATTCACGCCCGATTAAAGTTAAATCCACAAGAGATAGAAATCGTACATGTTTATATCACGTCAAACTAAAGTAAATTTCACGTAAGATTAGAATATTAAATATTTATAAATATGATAAATAATTGTTTGTAGACACGCATGGTAGTCCGGTGTTGCCCGTAGGAAAAACAAAATTTTGAAGAAATTTTTTTTAATTCGATTTTTTAGCCTATAACACCCCCCGGCCACCAATGAGTGCCCACAAAAAATGTCAGCCCAATCAGTCCAGCCGTTTGGCCAGCTATACGCAACATATATATTTATACGAATGTGTTGTTTTATTATATAGATAATCATAATTCCACTTATTAAAGAGCTATTGAAAAGAACAAAAATGTTTGAAATTTATAATATGAAACCGAGTATATTATAATATGTAACCGAATATATTATAATATGTAACCGAATATATTATAATATGTAACCGAATATATTATAATATGTAACCGAATATCTTATAATGTGAAACCGAATATATTATAATATGTAACCGAATATATTATAATATGAAACCGAATATATTATAATATGTAACCAACTATATTATAATATGAAACCGAATATAATATAATATGAAACCGAATATATTATAGTATGTAACCGAATATATTATAATGTGTAACCGAATATATTATAAAATTTAACCGAATAAGTTTTCTTTTCTTACACTTGTAACTTGTAACAAAATCAGAACTAAAGGAGAAGCGGCGTCACAAAATAATGTTAATTGAATTTTACCTCCTGGTTAGTTTGCAGTGAATTCTGAAGTTCGGAACGAAAAGTAAGGGTTGCATAAAATTTCTAAAATGCTTCTTGAAATCACAAAAAAACTATTGAAGGTTATATCCTATACAGTGTGAAGAAAAACAAATATATTACAATATCTTCTCACAATTTCTCTGCAGATTCTTGAATAATATATAACTTAAAGTAGCGTACATCAAAATAAAAGAATACAGAATATCCATTTCTTAAGAATCTTATGATTTTTGTTTCGAATTAAGTTTTCGTCAAAATTCGAAAATACTTTGCATTGCACAATAAAATTCTATAAGATTTAAAACAATTAAGATTTTAGTTTCAGAGTCAGGGCTTGAAGGATGTATGCCTTTATATTCGGAGGCGTAAGTGGCCTGTTTATAAAGAGGGAGGCAGCCTCCATTGATAACTTGGTTTTCAAGTAAGTTCTCGTGTACATATACTCGCTTGAGAACCCAGCGTTGCCCAGGGAGTACATATTTACTCCCGCCGTTTACCCGCGCTTGGTCTTATATTTACGATTTTAGCTATTTTCCACTTTGAACCAACTCAACTTAGAAACTAGGCTAAGAACATTCCCCTGGTTGTCCCGAGTTCTCCACAATAAATATTTGAGGCAAGTCGATCAAGAGGTTCAAGAGTTATGATCGGACAAACAAATAGACAAACAGAGTTTTTTTTCTATATATAGATGTTACCCCTTTGGTTACCACATTACCCGATTAACAAGTTTCATTTTTTAACTCTATAAATGGCTGGGGGGGGGGGGGNGCGTTCCTCCCCCCCTAGACTATGGCTTTAAAGAATAGGTTTATGGTTAAAATACACATACATAGCCCAATTTTAAAGGCCAGCTCATTGAAAAAAAATGAAAACGATAACCTTATAAGTTTGGTTGCTAGGGAGGGTGAAAAAATTGCCCAAAAAGGAAAAAGATGTAGAAAAAATAATTTTTTGTTTAAACAAATATCAAAGTGTGACACATATTTATACATCTATTTATCAAGGGCTTTTCAAAAATATTGGCTTTAGATCTGTAGCTTTAGTCATATAAAAATTATGGGCTATTTTAGATTTGTTTTACATCGACCGGACTTTTTACCGCCCTGTACCCTATTCTACGCAAAAAAAAATTTTGTTTCCAAAAATCCTTAAGATTTCTATCTATTCAAAGTCAAAAAGTTTCACGGTGATATTGTCATAAATAGTTGAAAGCTAGGTTTAGGATTTATTAAGACTGCTGTGCTTAAACTGTAATTGATCATGGTTTCAAATATTGCTGCTTTCTTAAATTTCAGACTCTATTTATTACAATCAATTATTTTAGGTTGCACTATAGAGGCACTCTGAATATAATATAATATGAAACCGAATATATTATAGTATGTAACCGAATATATTATAATGTGTAACCGAATATATTATAAAATTTAACCGAATATATTATAATATGAAACCGAATATATTATAATATGTAACCGAATATATTATAATATGAAACCGAATATAATATAATATGAAACCGAATATATTATAGTATGTAACCGAATATATTATAGTATGTAACCGAATATATTATAATTTGGCTGAAATCTTTCCACATTCAAAGTATTTTTGAACTTAATTTCAAGTGATATGTCCTCTTTAAAGCTTTGTAACTTGAAGCAAATATATTCCAAACACGCTTCTGTTTCTAGCTTTATTTTAAATGGAGTAATTGGCAATTGCCAATTGTTTTTTTGCGTGAGATTTTGGTTCGCAGTGTTCAACGGCTAACATTCAAAAGGTCTCCATGTAAAGGTCCCCATGTAAAGGTCCCCATGTAAAGGTCCCCATGTAAAGGTCCCCATGTAAATGTCCCCATGTAAAGGTCTCCATGTAAAGGTCCCCCTGTAAAGGTCTCCATGTAAAGGTCCCCATGTAAAGGTCCTCATGTAAAGGTCCCCATGTAGAGGTCCCCATGTAAAGGTCCTCATGTAAAGGTCCCCATGTAAAGGTCCTCATGTAAAGGTCCCCATGTAAAGGTCCTCATATAAAGGTCCTCATGTAAAGGTCCCCATGTAAAGGTCCCATTGTAAAGGTCCTCATGTAAAGGTCCCCATGTAAAGGTCCCCATGTAAAGGTCCCCATGTAAAGGTCCCTATGTAAAGACCCCATGTAAAGGTCCCATTGTAAAGGTCCCCATGTAAAGATCCCCATGTAAATTACGTTTACAGTCCCTTTAATTAAAGTTTTTATTATTAGGACGGATTGGACAGGAGCATAGCTACCCCGGTGTAGGGCCCCTAGACGGAGATAACTTTCATCATCATAAATTCTATCAGTGGGTCGTCTTCGTTCTAACACTACAGGTTAGATAGATAGATAGATACGTATATAGATGTATATAAAAATCATTTACCACTGGCAGCCGTAGTGCATTTGATTTTCTCGAGATGGGTCAACCTTTCCGGTCCTAGTTTGTACTTTGTCGCCCGGGCATAGGGTAAATAAAGCAGACACTTAATAGGACTAGCCGGTGCAATAAGGTAGACGCGGTCAGACATTATTAGGTAGAATTTACTTTTACTAAAGGATCAGAGGTGCGAGTAACCCGGCGTTTGGCCTCCCTCCCCCTTGTTTGTCCTAGCAATTTCATTTTTAACACAATCACGGCTTGAAGTTTTTGACTTGGAATTGTAATCTAACAGATTTTTTGCATCTTTTTTAATGCATAGGGTTGGATACAGGGGGGTAAAAAGGCTGGTAAATGTTTAAAACTTTCGTTATAATATATTTGTTATTTTTCATGCAATAAAAATAGGATCCTGGAATTTCAAAAATGTGGTCTTCGTAGTTTCTTAACTGAGGATATTTTTTAATAAACTAAAAGCCCAAAAACTTTTTATTGTTAAACTTTTCCAATTTGAACTTTATGATTTTTCATCTTCTGTTCTGTGTAAACATCTATTAAAACTTTTCTTCAATTACTGAGATAGCTTCAAATATATCGTGAAAGGAAAGACAAACATGATCTTAAAGGGCCTATACACACATCTTGAAAGAATGGTCCTAAAGGGACATTACTTCAAATTTGAAAGGGGGTACAACAAGACAATTGGATACAATATCTTGTCCAGACAATTGGATACAATATCTTGTCCAGACAATTGGATACAATATCTTGTCCAGACAATTGGATACAATATCTTGTCCAGACAATTGGATACAATATCTTGTCCAGACAATTGGATACAATATCTTGTCCAGACAATCTTTATACTTAGCTATCTATCTCTTTATATATCTTTTTACCTTTCAATCTAATCTGCCTTTCTATCTTTGTATCTATCTGCCAGCTGCCTAGGCTGGTTTATTCTATCTGCCTCGAATGTTCTGGAAGAATTATGAAGGCGGAGTGATGAAGCTTCTTACCAACGGATTAACAGGTAAACATAATAAACCTTGTAAACTCTTTTTCCAATGAAGGTGCGCGGTGTTTAAAAATTAAATGTTAAAAATTAAGGATTTTGACCAATAAGAGCAAGCTTGTCATTTATTTTAGAAATTTCAAATAATGCATATTTTTATCATTCTTATAAAGTTAAACATATATCTTTGGATAAATAGCTTTTCTATTGAACACACATTCATGTCTAGGGTTGGATCGTTTCACATTCATGTCTAGGGTTGGATCGTTTCACATTCATGTCCAGGGTTGGATCGTTTTACTTCTCTTAAAGACGATCGTTTCTTTTTAAAACGACAAAGAAAAGCTTTTTTAAATATAGTTGTTTAAAAACGGTCCTTTTTAAGAACGTTAGCAGCGACCCTTTGTCAACGTCCGTTATCGACGACCCATCGTTAACAACTTTTTAGAGAGAAAACAATTTTTTTTGGTCGGAAAATCCGAGATCAGAAAATATTTGGGTTATTTGTACGATTGTACCTATACAACAATATTTAATACAACATTCATAATCTGAAAACTGAAATGAACTGTCATAAAACTCAGATTTATTAGCGAACGTTCTTTCAATATCTATTGTTTTCGTTATTTTTAAAAACGATCGTTTTTAGTTTTTTGAAAGTTCAAAACGAGGGGTTTAATTTCAAAATTGATCCTTTTTTCCAATTATCAGGGTAATTTCTGGACCTCCATTGTGTGTTCAAATTTATTTGAAAAGACATGAAATAAGATTTAAATTTTTTTAGACATAACATCGTTTATGGACGGGGACACCAAGGCTGATGGATTGAGCCGTATTTCTAAATTTTACAGGAAAATACTCTTTTTCATTGAAAGAAAATTTGTTGTTTTCAAGATTGAAGGAAAAAGCTTCTGATCCATAAAGTATAAAAACAATAAGCTTAATTTCATGTGACTTTACTAAGATTACAGTGCCCTCTATACACAATGGTATCCTTGAAACCTTCAGCTGATCAATAGTGTGGAAGATAGTGTCGTTTTTCTTGGTTAACAGTGTTTAATTCTGATAATGTCCATAATTAAAAATAATCAGTTTTAAAATTTACAAAATTATTAATACTTCATACTTGAGCAAAGCTTTTGAGGGTATAGTTGTAAATCAGGTATTCTATGGAGGGTCACTTGAAATTTAGCACACAGTCCCTTTAAATGCAAAACAAGAGTGTATCTGGCAGTGTGACCGGAAGTGGGCGAGGAAAGTTTTTTCTTTTCTTTTTTTTCTGCGAACTCTTGAACCTTGTCAACGTGGTCGGACAGATCTTCTTTATGGACAGGTAATCATTTATTAATGGGACTGTGCACTAGATAATCATTTATTAAAGAGACTGTACACTAGGTAATCATTTATTAAAGGGATTGTACACTAGGTAAACATTTATTAAAGGGACTGTACACTAAGTCAATATTATTGGAATAAGAAGCACAACCTTGGCATGTCCAATTCACATTGGTATTTCTTGAATCTTTATCTGACAAAAAGGAATATATTATTGTGTTTTCATTTCAAGAATTGTTGAATTCTGTAACTTTGTCTAAGCTTCATAAATTTCGCAATGTAGAGAACCAACAATTAGAAATGATCCGTTTTGAAATAGAAAATCGAGGATATTTTCATCATTTTTTCTCAGATAAAAGGTTTTAATGAAACCTATGTGAATCGAGCATGCCAGAATGTCGGTAGCAGTCCCTTTACCCTGATTCAGAGTTTTATAAATAGATCGGATTTGATAAAATTGTTGTCAAAATAATAAAACAAAATATTTAAAAATAAGAAATGAAAGAAATCTTTGAAAATGTTAGATATCTCTTTTCTAAAAAATGCTTTATCGGCCATAAAGAAAAAACATGAATTTTAGACCATTTTTTACTTTTTTTCAGGTTCCTAGGAGGACAGTTCACAACTTATGGAACTGGTGTTATCTCCCAAACGGAAGGAAACTTCACTACCCGGGTCGATCATCTAAATGTCGTCTTCCCTAAGGTCAGGCAATACTCGACATTCAAAGGACAAGCCTTTAGAGAAGACGATTTAACCCTATTCCCGCTGGGGGGGGGGGTCAATTTGACCCCCCCCCCAAATTGACCCCCCCTGTAGTTTTTTTTACATAACTCAAAAAGTATTGGTCTGAGGCTGTTGAAATTTTCTGACTTTTCTTACATACCCAAAGCCCTCCCTTTAGGCCTAAAACCGGGCTTTAATACTAACTGCCTGAGTCCTCAGGCACACTGCCTGAATGACTGCTTTTGCCTGTAACAAACTAAATCTTTGTTTTGACCCACTTTCACTTATCAGATTTTGATAAAATTTAGCTTTTTGGAAAGCCTATGACATAAGGAAACGGATTGCACAAGTTTTGCGAAAAAAAATTGCAAATTATTTGCAAACAACCTGTCAAAGGAAATTTGCACATTTTTAGTTTTTCTTGATTAAAAATCAGGTTATTTAAAATTTTGCAAAAATGTTTGCATATTTGAAATGGCATGGTCAAGGGCTTTTCAAAAATGTATAATTTGTCATTTTTTGGACAAATTTTTTTTTGCAAACATATTTACTTTATAACTGGATTTTGCGATTAAAAAAATTCAATTTTCGCAAATTTGCAAATTTTTTTGCAGATTCTAAAAGTAGAGCACAAGAGCTTTCTAATAATGTGTCATTTGTCATATTTGGACATAAAACATGGGATTTAGAGGGGGGGGGGGCAAATTGACCCCCCCCCCCAGCGTATCCTGGTTTTCAAGTACCCCAGCAGGGATAGGGTTAATATAATATTCTATAAAGTTAACTGAAGTGGGAACCTTAAAACCGTGAAATAAAAAGACGACTTTTAGCAAAAGATATAAATCAAGACCTTGAAATACAACAATTGATCAGAGCCCGCGATTTAAAAGCTTCGGCTCGAGTCGTAATTCCTTAAACCCGACTCTAAGACCCAATCTTCGGCCCAACTCTAACAACAGCTTGTGTCACGTGATTGATAGCTGCAAGATATTCGGCTCGACTTCAGGAGTTAGGCCCAATGAAAATAAAACCGACCTTGGTTGGTTTTAGTGGAGAATAAGTCTCAATGTTAAGTCTTGCTCTAAGAAAAAGCCAGAATGCGCCAATTCCTACCATGAAATTCCGCCGAATAGAATATTAAACCGGTTTTTTTAACTCATCTCTGTGGAAAATGAGATGCAGCTTGAATCCGAAAGCTCAAGCGGTAAATAAGGCCTAACGACAGCTTAGACCCGAGCAGTATTTTCCCATATTTTTTTTAATCGCAGGCTCAGTGTACCCACACTTATTTAACTGGGGAAATTGTTTTTCTCTGAATTTATGATTCCAAAAATATAATTTCTTTGATAAAATGTTTACTGGAAATATTTTATGAGATTCAAGGAATTTATTTTCAAAGAGAGAGCTAGATGTCTAGCTAAAATATTGAAAAAGAGAAAGCTTGATGTCTAGCTAAAATATTGGAAAAATAAAAATGAAATATTTAGAATTGGAAGAAACAAATATTGATTTAAGATTTTTACTCGCCCTTATATTGCCTGGAGTAGGAAAGATTTAAAAAAAATGGTACGTGACTTTACATTAACATTTCATTTATATGCATCTGCTTTTCTAACCATCATGTTTCAGGCATCTATATCTGCTGCCAAATAAATATATTTTTCTAGGTGACAAAGTGTCTGTTCCAAAAGTTCGGTGTGTCAGGCAGTATCCAGGTTCATGATGCTCTCTGTGTACTTCCTCTCAATATTATTAACGAGAAGATCTATGTTGCTATGTGGTTCTGGTGAGTTTTAAAAGAAAAATATTTAAAGGTATATGATGATATGTGGTTCTGGTGAGTTTTATAAGAAAATATATATACAGGTATATGTTGCTATGTGGTTCTGGTGAGTTTATTAGAAAAATATTAAATCGTTAAATAATGACGTCAAAAAATGTAAGAAAACTTCTACAATAAACTAATTAGTTGTTTAGGAACAGGTTGAGAAAATAAAATTAACCCTTAACATTAAAACAAAAAACAATCTTATTCAGTTATTAGTGTCTGTAATATCTCATTGTTCGCCAACAGTTTTCGTCGTCGTTATTTAATAATTTTTAAAAACTCGATTCTCAGAACGTAATCACCCAAACGGATGATTTTGAACGTCGACTTTGCGCTAAAACTCAGTAATTGAACATCATTAAAACGTTTTATATGTCTCAAATAAATAAAAAAAAAATTCTCCACAATATACTAAATTCTCAGTTCAACTACCATATTTTGCCGGCCATTCTCTCTTTAAGACTCACTGAACGTACTTTTCACCATGAACTGGTGAAAGATGATGAAAAAGAAATAAAAATTCACGAAAAATTTATCTAGAAAATAAAGAAGAAATAATTGCTTTTAAGAATATTTTATATTCGATATATATTCTCCAACCCATTAAACACGTATGGTCTGGTCTCACCCATAAATTTTACAATTCTCGACTCTTTTTTATATTTTCATGTTTAAAATTTATATTAGTTTCATTCATTCTATAACCTTTGGAAATAAGCCCATAAAAGGATTAGAGCTTTTGCCACAAACTTAAATTTTTTAATCCCGATATCTTTGCAAACTGGGGGTGTAAAACTTTGAAATTTCAAACTTAGACCATTAAATAGAACAAAATTCATAGTTTAAAAATATCTAAGGTCTACGACATCAGGTTGTAAATATAAAGGAATCAATATTTCAGACTCAGTTACATTTCTACTTATATTGAAATTCTAAATTCAAATGTTGTTTTTGTTCCTTTAATTTAAATTGTTGTTCAGGGTTCTACAATTTGAATTGAAACTAATTTAATTCTAAAAAATTTCAGAACACTTTTTCAAAATAGTTGAGTTGAAAGTTACAAAATCCTTCGCAACAGTTTTATAACAAGAAGAAAAATGACAAAATTCCAGTGTGTTCAGAAGCCGAATTTAAAGAATTTGAGCCGCGGTTTAAATTTAAACCGCGGCTCAAATATGGTTGTATTCAGTTTTTCAAGATTTAATCCGGCGCTCAATTGAAACCGGTTTTTGGGTGATTTGAGACACGGCTTAAATCCATTAAATTCGGACACTGGGTTACCACATATTAAATCAGAGGGATCTCTTATCTTTCTTTTAAAAAAAAGACAATTTTAGATGAAAAATATTTTATAAATTAACTTTTATTTTAAAATATTCAGGTTTGTTTTCCTGGCATCAGTCACAGCAGCCTTCCTCATTTACAGAATTGCTACTTGCTTCTCCCTTGATCTTAGGTTAGAAAACTCAGGTTTTAATTCCTTATACACAGATTGAAGGCTTCATCTTAGACCCAACTTATGAATCAGCTTGTACCACGAAATCAACTTCTGCAAGCCCTTAGAATCGACTAATAGTTAGGTCTGATCAAAATAAAAATTAGAATTAGTCTTTTTCCTATCACATCCCTAAATCGACCGATCCAACAATAAAAATCCACCAAATCTTATAATAAACCCAGCTCTGAGTTACCAGATAAGTTTTGAGCCTTATTTTCCGAATGTTGTAAATCTTAGGCTTGATATACACAATGCATATCTTACTCCATGATGTCCCTCTTCACCCTATAATGTCTCTGTTTTGCCCTGAACCCCCTCCCCCCTCCTACATAGCACCTCCAGTTCAACATTTTGAAATTTTATTTGTTAAGGTCCTACGTTCTGTTTTCCAAAGCTGGCGGTCTCGTCAGAAAAGAGAAGGTAAATTTCGAATTCTTTTTTATTTTCTTCATTTCAATTTTGTCATTATACTTAAATGCATTCGGTTAGGCATCAGTTTAATATTAACTGCAGCTCAAGTGCCCAGCGTTGCCCGTAGAATTTGAAAAAGAAAAAAATGTATATCTTTTAAAGCAGCTATATGTTACTTCCAAGGGGTTCCCTCTTAAATTTCACCCAATTTGGTCCAGCTAACAAATATACACGCATATATATATATAAATATTTCAGTTTTAACTTCACATTTTTTTTTATTAAAAAGAATTATACTAAACTTAACACAAAATTTTACGTCTATCATGACGATCCTCAGTAGTTAAATATATATATATATATTTATATATATATGAGCTAAAAGCTTTATTATATAGTTTAAAGCACTTTACTTACTGGTGCCGTTGGTTTAGATGAAAAAAGACAAATGCGGGAAAAGAAAATGCTAAATTTTCAATGAAATGTTAAATTCTTGCTAGATTATACTGGACTCTAAACACTGGGTACAAGTAAATGCGTAAGTGGTACAAAATTGGATCATGGACCAAGACCCATATCATTACATTTCTTTAAACTGTACAATACTTTAAAAGCTAACTAATTCAGCCTATACTTTTTTAAACACAATACACATTTTAGATTTTTGTTGAACGTCTACTGTTTAAAAATAAACCTAAAACCGATGCACGTCTCTGATGGCAACTACACACTGAACTAAGCTAGTATTGTAAAAGTCCAATCGGCTTATGATAGGCTGCTGGCTGGGTACTTTAAGAAGGCTGGCCGCGCCATCGTTAGTTTAGCCGGGCCAACTTAACATAGGATGTATGAGGTCAAGTCAGTACAAGATGCACGCCACTATAGCCGGTACAAGGTGTCAACTGACCTCAGTCCACTGTGACTAACAAGAATTAATATTTTTTAATTAAAGATCCGCGCAGCCCTAAGCAACCCAGAACATAATGCAATTCAACGGCTTGGAGACTATCTTATGCTATACTTCCTTACCAAGAACCTTAACCCTCTTGTTGTTAGGGTAAGATATCTATCTATCTAAATATCTATCTATCTAAATATCTATCTATCTTTTTATCTATCTATCTATCTATCCATCTATCTATCTATTTATCTGTCTAAACATATTTTTATTCATCTATCTATCTATCTATATTTTTATATATCCATATATTCTTTTAATTTTCCCATCTTTCTTCTTCTAGCAATATTTTGACCCGTATTTTAAAGATTTATAAAATCTGAATATTTTAGGATATGTTTAATGAGCTAGCTCCTGAAAAATACGGAGCTGTCGACGAAGAGCTTGAATCGCTAAAGAAATCTAACGATATGTAAACAATCAATTAATCAATCGTTCGTTATGCAATTCAGTTTAAAGGAATTGAGTTTTTGCCCAAACTCTGATTTTCTAATTCCTATATCCCAATGTCGTAGATCTTAGATTTGTTAGACTTTGAATTCTGGTAGATTATTTAAATTAAGTTTGAAATATCAAAGGTTGCAAAGATGTAGGGATTAGAAAATTAGAGTTTGTGGGAAATACTCAATTCCTGTAGAATAAGAAAACAATAAAGAAACTGCCTCTCAAATAAATTTTTTCAAAGGACATCACATAGTATTGGTTTGTGCACTTTTTTCTACAAAAGTAGTTGATGCAAGCCAAGGCACAAATCAAAAAAAATAATTGACGATTTTCTGAGAAAGACTTCCAAGTGACTTTCAAATAAAAAAGATTTAAATGTTTGAATCAAAAAAGTCCAGTGTTTTGCTTTATGATAATATTAAATGCACAAATATAATTTTGAAAAATTCAACTTTTGAAAATATTTTTTATTATTTTTTAGATTAAATCTATGCATGTAGCTCGATCTGTATATTTTTTTTGCTAATAAAGAATTTTTGCCTTTATTCTATATCTTTACTTGAACAGCTTTTATTAACTTTTCGCTAAAAATATTGTTTTTTTTTTATTATTATAAAGTTACCCAAATTAACAAAAAAAAATTATTTTGGCAAATATTTGCTTTGCAAAGAATTTTCTCATAGTTAAATAGTAAAAATAAAACTTTCTGATGGAGGAAACTTTTATATTTTTCTTTTATTTTACAATTTCCATTTATTTTACAATTTCCTTTTATTTTACAGTTTTCTTTTATTTTACAAATTTCCCGTTATTTTACAATTTCTTTTTGTTTTACAATATCCTTTTATTTTACAATTTCCTTTTATTTTACAATTTTCTTTTATTTTACAATTTTCTTTTATTTTACAATTTCCTTTTATTTTACAATTTTATCTAATTTAACAAAGTTTTTTTATTTTACAATTTTTGTTTATTTTACAATTTTCATTAATTTTACAATTTCCTTTTATTTAACAAAGTTTTTCTAAATTTTACAATTTTTGTTTATTTTACAATTTTCTTATATTTTACAATTTCCTTTTATTTTAAAATTTCCTTTTATTTTACAATTTGTTGTTATTTTACAAAAAAAATTTATTTTACACTTTTCATTTATTTCACAATGAAAAAAAACTACGTTCATATCAGAAATTCAAAACATTTTGGCTTTTCTTAATTGCTCGTCATCAATGAGAGAAGTGATAATTGAAAATATTTTGATATTTTAATTTCTTATTAACAGTTTAAGTTTAACGTTCTATATTTTGCAAACATACAGGGTGGCGTTATTTTTACATTATCATCGTTTGTGAATTAAATATATTTTAAGGTTTTTATATATTTTTGTATCAACTTTAACCTAGTTTAAGTTTTGAAAGATTAAGCATAGTTGAAATAATCCTTTTTATTTAATTAATGAAAAATGTTGCGGGAAGAAATGTAAAGATGAACTTGAGAGAACATTTGAACAGGAATTAAAATTGTCATTTTTTGTTTGATCCAACATAAATTTGAGGTTGAGGTTTCATCTTCTTCTAAAATGCTGGACAGTCATAATAAAGAGATATAAAGGGTTGATGTGTAGATTGCCTAATATGTCCTCGGACTCACATAATAAAGAGATATAAAGGGTTGATGTGTAGATTGCCTAATATGTCCTCGGACTCACATAATAAAGAGATATAAAGGGTTGATGTGTAGATTGCCGATATGTCCTATTTTTAAGGAGAGATCTAGATAAAACGTGTAAAATGCAGGTTCGAAAAATAAAACTCAATGATTAAAGATTTTAATCTTACGAACTATTTACAGTAGTTTGACGTGTGGCCTCTCTAATACTGAAGTGTATAATACCAAAGATGTAAACTATATGCAACATTTCTGGTATGGCTTTGTAACTTCATAGATCCTCTAGTTTTTATTTTTGTACAAGTATAAGGACAGTGTATCCGGTTCCAGTATATAAATTGTTTTCTCAATAGATTTTCAATACTTAAAAAAACGTAAGATTGCAATCTATGCGTGCAAATTACTTTTCACGTACTGAAGATAATGTTTTAAACATTTCAGTTGATTGCGATGATGTGATTGCTTATAATATTGAAAAATGTCCCATTGCATTTGTCACTTAAGGTTAAGCATAGAAAATATGTCTTTCATTTCGAAAAAGCAACCGGTTAACAACCATGAATGTCAAACTTCTTCCGGCGTCCCTAAGGCCTCAAAGTAACGAAGCCTGTGTATATTATATGCAAGTCAACAAGTAACATGTGTGTATCATGATGAACAAACTGAAAATATCTAAAAGATTTCTATTTAACCGAAATCTAAGAAAATACTAATAATCATTTTAAACAGAAAAATAAATATTTGAAGCCAAACATTGTTTTCTGAAATGGTGTAATCTTTTCTGTCAAACTTAAAGATTGTGTACGCCTGAAGATAATTGAGATTCCTAGTAAACTAGCAGAGACACCTAGCGGACAAAATCTGAACTATTTGACATAAGTAAATTCTTAGCGACACCTAATACAGCTGAAATCTAGGATCTGATCTATATAATTTCACAGGATTTTATAATTAAAATTTGATAATATAATGCATAATGTAATTACATAAAATTGTTTAAACAGGGTTACCCACAAAGGATAAGACTTCAGAGACGACTATACCCCAGCAGGAAAACTTCTTCCTTCCTTTTTTACACTTTTCTTCTCCAGGGTTCTTTTAAACCTCCCGATTGGGCTTTATAAAGATTGAGGGCGGGAGGGGGGGGGGGGTCCCACATAACACAACACCCCCCAATCATGATCGTGTTTATAGCGTTGTCCGATCTGGCATAAATTAGATATCCATGTTTTTTGTGTTTTTTACCTGTTTCTTATACTGAAGTGAATAAGTAAATGTCAAGGATCTACTAGCACTGCAATAAACTAAACTCAATATGGAGGATGTTATGCAATATTACTGGTATGACTTTGTAACCTTTTTGGTCCTCTGTTTTTAATTTTCCACACAAGAGTTATAAAATCACATGTATCCGATTACATTTTGGAAATTTGAAACATTATTGTTTATTTCAATAGATTTTTAATAATTAATAACAAATGAGTCTGGGACACGGAATAGGAATAAAGGGAAGAGAAATGGCACTGATCTGGCATAAGAAGCCGGTCGTACTGCTTTGCAGACGAGTTCGTTATTACACACACACACTCTTTTGGTACAAACACACAACATGACATAGTCAAGGAAATTGCAGAACAATGTTGTCAATTATAATTAAGCTTGAATAATGAGTAGTTTATTGAAAACTTTAATCAAGTTATATTCTTTGCATGAAAATTTTGCTTTTAGTGTTCACTTAAATATATAAATAATATACTACGTGTATGTTAAACTTATTTTTAAGTAAACAATTAACAATTAACAAATGTACTCTCCTAGACTGTACAAATACCGAGATTCTTATGTACTATATATACCTACAGTACACGCCTTCGGTTCGTTATTACTTACACACACTCTTTTGATACAGACAAACATACATGACGTTTCCGCCACCTGATCTTGGAAGAAATAATCATTATTGGAGTACTATTGGAGACCCCTTTTTCATTGAAGACCCCCATGGACGTCTCGTTGGAGACCCACAGATTCTTGTTGGAAAATATTGGGGGGGGGGGGGCCTTTAGTAAAAATAGGGGGTTCCCAACCGAAGATTTGGGGTCTCCAATTAAAATATGTGGGTCTCCAACGAGAATCTGGGGGTCTCCAATAGTACGTTAGTTTGACGTTCTGTACTGTCAATAAAATAATGTTTTAAACATTTCAGTTAAGTGCGGTGATGTGATTGCTTATAATAAGGAAAACTTCTTCCTCTTCCGTTGTAAATAGAGCATTTGCTATCTTTTCATGGAGGGTCACTTCAAATTATGCTTACAGTCCTAGATAAATTCTGTATATATTTGCTTTAAGTTCTAAACCTGGGAATGAAAGGTTCCATCAAATAAATTAATAATCTATTTAGGTTAGATGATATTTCCAAAAATTCTCATTCAAAAATGTGTTTTTTATTAGTAATATAAACTTTTCCCATCCTACCAAAAGTCGTAAAGTAAGTTTCTATATAAAAGGTACATAAAATCAGCATTCTATAATATTCTTATCATCTAACCTTTCTCTATCAATTACGTAGAAATTATATCTTATTTAAAAATCATATTTATATTTCCTATAAATGTGCTGATATTCTCCAGAAGCTTGGTTTATGTTAAAATAAAACTCAAAATATTTTTCGTTATTTGATCTAAAATTTGCATACAGTTTAACCATTATTGAGCCATGTACCGAAAGAATTTATCAAGTGTCATCTTGACAATTTTTTAATGGGTTTTATACTATTTCACGTAAATCTCAGTATTTGCGAAAATAAATAAATAGCCATGAATATTCGGGAACAGTTTTAAAGAGCTCCATATAATCATTTAATAAAAAAAATAAACATCTGCAACATTTAACTATCAGAAAGTGAAGAATACAACATTTGATAAATTCGTTCAATGTATGGCTTATTTAGGATTTAAGTGTAGATGTAAACCCCTTAAAAAAAATGTAAATATTTGTCCGGAATTTTTTTACAATGAACTTTTTTATAACTTTTAAAACTCCCAGACTCCCAGACATTTATGCACTATTCAAGGCACAAGTAAGCCACAATTCACAAAATTATTGACAATTTGCGAAAAAAAAACATCTATAAGCGATTTTTGGACTAAAGCTTTTTTGGGGTTAATGAGTAAAAATGTAACTTTTTTTTCTTTTATTATACACTAGTTGGAGGACCCAGCGTTGCCCGTGGAAAAAAATATATAAAAAAATTAAATTAAATTACGAAATTTTTTTTTTGATTTTTTTTAGCATATAACACCTCCGGCCACCCATGTATTCACAAAAAAAACCAGCCCAATGGGTCCAGCCATTTGGCCGGCAATAAGTAACATATATATATGTACAAATGTCTTGTTTTATTATACAGATTTGTTCTTTTAATAAACAATATTCATTGTATAGTTTAAAAAAAAATTCTTATGGTACTGTTTTTTTATAACATTGGTTTATTTGAATGAAGAATTAAAGATAAAATATGTTTCCAATGAAGCTGCTCACGAATTTTCAAGTGCACTACAAGAGAGCCCTCTTCTGTAAATACACATCAAAAAATAAATACCAAATATGAATCATATTCTTTATTCATTCTGTACGAGACAATTATTCGATTGAGATAACATCTGAAAAAGATAAACATTGTTATTGATGATATGATTGTATATTATAATATTATTAATTTTATTTATCATTTATTTTTGTCCTTTTGTAATCTCTGTTTGTCTAGCTGTGTCTGTTTGTTTGTTTGTCCGACAATACCCCAGGGTTGCCTAGAATCTTGATTTGCCAGTCTATCCATAGATGCAGACCCCCAGCTTTTGTTGGGTTATGAATGTTTGCAGGCATTTGGGGACATTGAACATCTTTTTACAGAGTACACTTTATGTATTGCTTCACATATTTCCGCTATATAGATCATTTTATAGAAAATCTAAAATTAATATTAAAAGAAAACCAAATTATGAAGTAGGCTGGTTTCCTAATTGACCTACGATCATTTCACATAGACTCTATGCCTTTCACTTTACAAACGATGATTTTCCGTTATAACTATAAATCAAATGATGTTTTTTATTCACCTAATTCATTTTATAAAGTTTATTTAAAAGATTTAAAAAATTCGAAATTGAAATGGATAGTCTAGGTAACATACTGTGTTAATGTACTCTCCTGCATATAATTTGTGAACATTTACATGATTTGTACACTTTGAACTCCCTTTCAAACTGAAAGGGACTGAAAAAATTCATAACGAGGAATTTTCTAAATTCCATTCTAATATATATTCTATTCTCTTTGTGTTTCCTTAGACTTTCCTCACTTAGTTTTATGCATCAAACATAACAAAAACCTCTGATTTTCGGTTCAAATACATTCTTTTTTAAAAATGAACAAATTTTGTCTACTTCGGTTATTAGTTAAATTGCGGCCAATTTTGGTCAATTCCATTTAGCTCTGATCAATTCTCTGATTGATTCTAGTCAATTCTTATTCATTTTGATTGATTTTACTCAATTCTTATTAATACTGATTGATTCTGATTAATTCTGATTTATTTTAATCAATTCCTGATCGAAACCTGTTCATAAGCAAGGACAGTTAAGGACAGTTAAGCAAGGACATTTAAGGACAGTTAAAGACAGTTAAGAGGATTATTTTCCAAAGTACTTAGAAAACTCTCCAAGACCGAAGGGTTTTACAAGGAAGACGATTTTTCAATCCGTCTTCAATTTTATTGTCTGTCTAAAACAAATGCCAATACCTGCAGGCAAAAGGGTTACTCGCAAACAGGGGCTTAAAAAAGAATTTGTCTAGGTGGGGGGTTTGTCCCTTTTGACAAGAATTGTGTTTTGCCACAAACTCAATTTTTTTAGTATCTCTGCAACCTGATTTTAGGGATTAGAAAATTAGAGTATGTGGCACAGACAACAGTCCCATTAACATAAATGCATGCTTACAGTCCCTTTAACTTAAATACATGCTTACAGTCCCTTTAACTTAAATATACGCTAACACTCCCTTTTTAACTTAAATAAATGCTTACAGTCCCTTTAACTTAAATATATGCTTACAGTCCCTTTAACTTAAATAGATGCTTACAGTCCCTTTAACTTAAATATATGCTTACAGTCACTGTAACTTAAATATATGCTAACAGTCCCTTTAACTTAAATACATGCTTACGGTCCCTTTAACTTAAATATATGCATACAGTCCCATTAACTCAAATACATGCTTACAGTCCCTTTAACTTAAATATATGCTTACAGTCCCTTTAACTTAAATATATGCTTACAGTCCCATTAACTTAAATACATGCTTACAGTCCCTTTAGCTTAAATACATGCTTACAGTCCCTTTAACTAAAATACATGCTTACAGTCCCTTTAACTAAAATGCATGCTTACAGTCCCTTTAGCTTAAACACATGCTTACGAGACCCTTTAGCTTAAATACATGATTCCAGTCCCTTTAGCTTAAAAACATGCTTACAGTCCCTTTAACTTAAATACATGATTATAGTCCCTTTAGATTAAATACATGCTTACACTCCATTTAACTTAAATACATGCTTACAGTTCCTTTAACTTAAATATATGCTTACAGTCCCTTTAACTGAAATATACGCTTACAGTCCCTTTAACTTAAATACATGATTACAGTCCCTTTAGCTTAAATACATGCTAACAGTCCCTTTAACTTAAATATGTGCTTACAGTCCCTTTAGCTTAAATATATGCTTACAGTCCCTTTAATTTAAATACATGATTACAGTCCCTTTAACTTAACTATATGCTTACTTCCCATTAACTTAAATATATGCTTACAGTCCTTTTAACTAAAATACATGCTTACAGTCTCTTTAACTTAAATATACGCTTACAGTCCCTTTTTAACTTAAATACATGCTTACAGTCCCTTTTATTTAAATATATGCTTACAGTCCCTTTAACTTAAATACATGCTTACAGTTCCTTTAACTTAAATATATGCTTACAGTCCCTTTAACTTAAATAGATGCTTACAGTCCCTTTAACTTAAATATATGCTTACAGTCCCTTTAACTTAAATATATGCTTACAGTCCCTTAATAAAGTTGTATCATAAGCTTTTGAAATTGTGGGCTGCCCTCTTTTCATCTTTGAAATTGGCGGAGATAATAATTATTTAAATGATATTCTGTTTAAATGAATTATAATCTAAACAGATTTCGTATTATAAAACAAATAATGTGTATATATGGAAGTCGAAGGAATGGTAAGAAGTGTAATATTAAAACTAAATTAGTAAATATAGCAAATTTTTGTGCAATTTTGGAGATCAATAAATTTAGCACTATTAGTGTGTGAAACAATTTCGTGTGTTGCGCTATAATTTGTGAGCGCAAATTTACCCTTGTCTTATGAATCTCATAGCATAGGGGATCGTGGATGGGTGGTTGCAATTCTAAAATTACAATTCGTGAAAAAAGGGAATTATTATTTTTCTCAATAAAAAACGTGTAGAACAACATTCATTAACTGTTCTTACTGAAAAAAAACTTTTTTTAATGATGATTGTCTTTAAAGTAAACAATCGCTTTTTTTTAATCGTTTTCAAAAACGAACCTTACTCTCAACACACTAGTCTACATTATTTGCATAATTATATTTTATCGAATTTTCAAATACAAATGAATTTCTTAAAAAATTTTGGATTTGGATTTCTTTTTGTCTTTTACTTCCATATAGATTAAGGATTCAGCTAAAGGCAGCTGGTTTCAAGTTTTCAAACCAACAAAAGCAATCCTCCCCCACGAGAACTCCGAATTCGATGGCACGGCATGTTCCCATCTTCAAATATCCTTCCCCAGGTGATACTGGAGAACAGATTCCCCTTCCTAGGGCACACTCACGGCTCCTGTAGATATAAATTAGTAATAGTATTTAACTCGGTAAACTATGCTTTTGGATGCTTCGCCTCCCTTCTTTTAATCGTTTTCATTGGTCGATTTCCTAAAAAAACATAAACTGAGTGTCACAGACTATCAAGGTCATACAAAAAATTGGACCCTATATATCAGTTCAGTTCAGAATTTTTCCATGACATAAAATAACATAAGTTGCAGGAGGGAGGGGGGGCCATGCGGCCATGAACCCCGCAATATCCTGTTCGAACCCAGGTAGTTCGCAGAACCCTGTTCGAACCCCGCAGAAGCCTGCTCCAACCCCGCGAAAGCCTGTTCCAACCCCGCCAAAGACTGCTCTTGTTCAAACTTTTTTTTTAAATTGCATAGATCTAATAAACACTAAATAAAATTAAAAAAATCTCGACGTCCGGGAGCAGAAGAGATATTTAATAATCATTGGAATTTATTAGAATTCATCTAGAGATAGTCAATTTCGAGAATTTTGTCTTGGCGCTGGAGTTACACAAAGTGCCAAGGAATAATCGGCTCCCCCCCCCCCCCTATATA